AGTAGAGGGGCTAGGCCACAGAGTGGGGCCGGGCCAGTCCCAGGCTGACGGAGCCTCATTTGCTCACATACCGCATGGAAAAACACTGGGGGGTGCACACTCACCAGGGCCCTTTGCATTTGTCTTCACACTCATCGGCCCCTGGCACAGATCTGCACACTCGCTAACCCACTTACCCTTGCGTTCATGCTCACTGGCTCCCAGCACATGTTTGCACACTCAGCAGCTCCCTTGCACTTGTTTTCACACGCACAGATTTGCACACCCAGCAGCTCTCATGCTTCTTTTCACGCTAGCTGCTCCCAGCATGGATTTGCAGTCAGCTCCCCTACACTTGTTTTCACACCAGCTGGACCTCAACATGACTGCATATGCACCACCACCCTTACCCTTGCTTTCACACTTGCTAGTTCCTAGTGCAAGTTTTCACACTCGCCGCTCTCTAGTTCCTAGCACAGATTTGCACACTCACCAGGCCATCTGTATTTGTTTTCATTCTCACAAGCCCCCCAGCACAGATTCACACACACATTAACCTGCTTAGACTCGTTTTCACACTTGCCATTTCTCACTGGATTTGCACGCTCACTCATTGCTAGTTCCCTGTACCAATTTGCACGTGTATTGCCCCCCTTACATGTGTGCTCCCACTCACCACCCCCCTGCACAGATTTGCACGTGTGCCACTAATCCCCTTACACTTGCTTTCACACTTGCTGCCCCCGCACGGATTTGCATGCTCGCTAACACACACCCCTGCTTTCGCACGCGCGCCTGCTCCCAGCACAGATTTGCACACCCACTCACCACCTGCCTCGCACACTCGCTCCTCCCGAGCCCGGCTTTGCACACTCACCGGCCCTCTCGCACGCGCCTTCACACGTGCTAGCCCCCAGCCCGGGTTTGCATTCCACCCCACATAATCGTCTCCATGGCAACCCAAGCCCCGCCCAGGAGCCGCGCGGCACGCCGGGAAGCGGAGCCCTTCCTTTCCTCCCTCTCCCATCTCGCGAGATCTACGCCCGCCGCGCGCGGCCTACTGGGAGCGGGAGTCCCGCCGCCCGCCACGTGACGTAGATGCTGTCTGACGTCAGTACTGGGCAGCCAATGGGGAAGGGCGCGGAGGGGCGGGGCGCGGCGCAGCGGTTTGAATCGGGGGCGAGGTAACGGCCGGGGGGAGGGGCGGTGTCGGGGGTGGGGGTTGTGCCCTAAGGGGGGCCTTGGGGGGCATAGCCCCCACCCCGCGGCCGTCTTTGGTTTTGTGCATTGAGGGGAGCCTGTGCCCTGGGAAGGATAGA